GGCTTGATGAGTGGTGCGCAGGTCTGCACCCAGGATCCAAACCTGTGAACCCCAGGCCACGGAAACAGAGCGCACAAACTTAACCACTAAGCCACCGGGCAGCCCCTAGCATGTGGATTTTTAAAGGACTAGCTCCACATTTTCAGGCTCGTGCTACATTTTAAAGATGCCAATTAGTACCTGGTGCTTGGCACAGTATAACTTACCAGAATGTGCTTACTAGCCATATTTTGAATTATGCAATTCCTTTTAAAAATGAGAATAATGCTAAGAAATATCCAAATAATTCCTCTCAACCTTTTAAGGTGATCAACAGGGGAAAATACCCACTTGTATTTGGAGTTATAATTTGGTTAGAGAATATAGTTCATTCATAAAATTCATTTGTGAGAATCAGGCATTTCCCTTTCTGTGAATAAACTAAAAGCAAAATGGAAGGTTGCTTAACCTCTTTTCTTTGTTTTAAAAGGGAATAGAGAGAGAGATACAGGGTATAAACTGAAATGAGAAAATCTTGTCTGATTTTAATTTTATTTCACCAGAGACAGAGATGTGGATTTCACACCACATAGGGCATAGTTTGGTCTAGTATCTTACAGCAATTAGAGTTCAGCATTAGCAAAAGTGACAGTTTTAAAAATAAAGTGTATCAGTTAGGAACATATTCAGCTTTGTGGAACAGAAAACCCAAAAACAGTGGCTTAAATAAGTATGGGGCTTATGTTTCCATACAATAAGAAGTCCAATACCGGTGCAGTTACTCAAGAATGTCACTGGATGGGGGCCAGCTCCGTGGCCTAGTGGTTAAGTTCGGCATGCTCCACTTCAGCAGCCTGGGTTCGCAGGTTCAGATCTCAGGTGCAGACCTACACCACTCGTCAGCCACGCTGTGGCGGTGACCCATATACAGAATAGAGGAAGACTGGCACAGATGTTAGCTCAGGGCAAATCTTCCTCAGCAAAATGGAAACAAAAAGAATGTCATTGATGAATCAGGTTCCATTCATCTGCCTGCTTTGCCATCCTTAATGTGTGCCTTTTGCCCTTGTGGCTGGAAGACAGCTGCTAACTCACCAGATATCATGTCCCAGCTCCAAGCAGGAAGAAGGGCTAAGGACAAAGCTTTGCTCCCCCCCTCACCCCGAAAAGAAAGCCCTCCTCAGGCATTTCTGGCTACATGTAGTTGGACAGAATTGGATCTCATGACCACCCTCAACTACCAGGGAGGCTGAGAATTCAAATACTTAACCTTACAGTCTCCACAGAAAAGGACATCAAGAAAGAAACTGGTTGAAATGAGGGTGGAGTCATCTAACCGTTAGTAATGTAATGTGCCACAGAAGGAAGCCTAAGGTTTATATATTTGTATATGTACATGTATATACACACATTTTTTTTTTAATTAATTTACTCAGCATCACTTTTTCCACTAAAGGAGTTCAGGGAGAAAATGCTTTGGTGCAGTCCTGGGTGGGGGTGCTTGACAGTGCTTAATATCACCAGCACTGAAAGTAATAAATGTTATCCCTCTTTTCTATCATGAATATGAATGATGCTCTGAAGGCTGAATGCAACCTAAGAATTTACGTGAGAAATGAGGCATGAAACATTTTTGAAAATATATTAGCCCAAAGTCTGTATTACTGCATGTTTTATACCCTTTTCAATATGCTACAAAAGGTCTGAGCCATCAACTGAATGCTGCCAGAAAAGAACAAACAAGAACAAGGATACAAAAATAAACGCTGGGAGTCAAGTTCCCCCCAAACGTTCTGTATGGTTGGTATAATGATCGCAGTACCAGGCAGTCTGCTTTGCTTCAAACTCTCTCCATCAGCACTTCTCCTGTAAGCCTTGTTCTCCAGCAAGTTTATCCCAGGCCAAGTAGTCAGAAATATTCATGGAGCAGTTGGAATTGGAGAAAGCATTCCATAACCATCTCCCCCCACCCCTGCCACTGAGTTCCTCGTACCTTCTTCTATGCCTGAGATTGTTCCTCTCATTTTGAGAACATGAAGAAAACATGTCTGCTTGAGTGTCTTCTGATTGGAAATTCAGTTAATGTTGAAATCTTTTATTCTGAATGTTTTTATTGTCCAGAATATATTTTTGAGGCATGGTTATATGATAAAATATAACTACTAATATGTTTTACGTCCTATAAAGTTTACCCCATGTTAATGATATTCAGTAAAATGGCCAGCCAGAGGAAAATATTTACTCTGTTAAGATATAATTCACTACTTTAACCCTTTCTACTTTTACATAGTTTTAAAAAGCTCTACAATGAGTGTATATCATTCCTATAGTATGGAACAGAATTCAACTTCAGTTTTTCCAGGAGGCTGTTGTCTTCCCAGACTAGACCTGAGTCAAGTTTGGGCTTGTGAAGGGAAAATGCATGGGGCATTGTGTCTGTAGACCCACCAACTGTCCAGATCCCAGAAAGTCTCATGGTTCACGTACTGAGCATCCTCTGGAAATCATATAAAAATACCTATAATTCAGTTGGACAGGGATGTGGCTCAGAAGTCTGCATTTTTAACAAATACTCCAAGTGATTCTGATACAGGCGAGTCCCCAGGCCACACCTGAAGAAACATTGCTCTGATAAGTCATTTGCTCATTTGATGAGAGGCCACAGTCTGTGCCAAAGTCCTTTCTCATGGACTCCAGCGACAGGCCAGTCTCCCTCTTCACACCGGAGAACAGTTCCCTCTCTGTCCCATCTTTCAAAGGGTAAACTGCTTCTACTTTTCCTCAGTTGCAAGAAGTTAATAGATTAATAAGTTGCATAACATTTCTTAATACTTAATAATACTTCGTTACATTGAAGTATTCTGTCATACAGGAAAAGTGTTTCTTAATTAAGTTCAGTTGAATGCCTACTACGAACAAGAAGAGAGATATTAAAGATAGATAAGACCACCTCTTACTGCCAAATGAAGATTTCTAGATTAGATGGCCCCTGCTTTTCTGTCATTGGGTATGAACTCCCTCAACTCATCTTTAGTGATAAATTATATAGTACAATTGAATGGTTACCATTTTAGAAGGATCACTTCTTGGCCAATTAAAATGTCCAGAAAGATTGGTGTGAAAGTGAAGATATTATCTTTAATGCTTTTCTTCTAAGAAATTCCTCCATCATTTTCTTCTTTCTAAGGGATGGTTCTATTTTTCTACTAAAAATCTAAAGAAGGATTTCTCTTGGCACAATACATGTCTGGGGAGCTCTTACTGTAAACCAGCCGTTATTTTTTTCCTGGCTATCAGACAATGTTTCACTTAGATACTATATCTGAGGCCTCATCTAAATTTAGGAGAGTGAGACTGCACATTTCAGAGATAATCTGCCAGCTGTGCTTGTGAAAGTGTCATTAAGCCCTGGCAAAGAGTAAGAGAAGGAGGAAGGGGAGGGAGAAGAGAAGAGAGGAGCCTCAATGACAACAACAATTGAATTTTTTTAAGCATCTCCTAAATGCCAGCTATGAAGCTAAGTGCTTTCACGAAGTATCACACTTATGACAGCCATGAGATACAGGTTCTTTATAGATTGATTCTACAGATGATGAAAACTGAGGCAGAGAGAGATTAATTCAATTGCCCAAAGTCACAGAGCTACTAAAGGCCGAACGAAGATTCAAAGGGAGCTCTGACTGATTTCAGAGCTTTCAACCATGCACTTTGAGACCCCACTGGGAGACAGGGGCTCAGACAATGTGCAGCCGTGTGCAGCTAGCCTCGGGAGCACAGTTCTATCACTCCAGCAGCATCAGAACAGCCAGCAGAACTGCAGTTGATCAAAAGTTATGGCCCACTGTCTAATTCATCGGAGGGCCTCCGACAGCCTCAGAAATCAGGCTGGATTTAAGAATGCGAGCTCCCTTTCCTCACCAAATCAGCCTGTCACAATTCATATGCTATATTCTCTCTGCCTATTGATCAATCTACTGCACTGAGGAAGGTCAGTTCTAAGTTTTCTAATAAAACTATCAGAATGAGTAAAGAGAACCCCATAACTGTCAGAAAAATATCAAAATTCAGTATGATGCCTGAGTTGGCCCTATTGACACATACATTATTTTTTGTTACAGGGTGAATAGCAACTATTTGGCTGTTACTATGTTATTATTATTAGGGAGGCCCAAGGTTCAGATATTCCTAATTGCTCGAACTCCTGGGCTAATTAATGCAATTTTAAAAGGGATATATCAGGAATCATACTATATGCTTTTATATCAAATGTAAAAACACCAGGCACGTGCCCCACGCTGAAGGTTGCCAGATAGTTCTAAGCACTTAGCATAGGTCTTGTCAGAGAAAACCCCAGTATATTAATTTAACAGGCTCAGAATTACTTATCAAAAGGCTGAGGAGCATGATGTTTTGCATAATCAAAATGGTTTATTAACTCAAGTCATCATTTTATTTTTTTCATTTATATTCCAATTCACAGGGGCATAAGCATATCAATTACAAAACAACCTACAATAACTAACTACAAAATAGCTACAAGGCTGTCTAAGTACTGTACACTACACCTAGCATATTACAGAGCTCAGTAACAAGATGATTTTCAGAAAACACCACATAAATGTTGATTATTCACCTTACCTGATAGGAAATGCCTTGCAGTTTTTTTCCTTGAAGAGTATGTATGTTATTACTCAGAAGAAAATCATCATCTTCATTTAGGTCTATGAAAAGAGATAAACATTATATATAGATTATCAGAAATTACAAAATTTTAAAAGTTTATGTACAATTTAGTACTCATTATATTTTTCTTTAGTCTATTAAGATATAACATTGACTAGATCATAAATGTTTATTTTCTTAAAGATATGTTATTCTTACAAGAAACAGATCAAACTAAAATAGAAATTAAACAAAATAAAAACAAAGAATGCCACTAACCAGTTGTATACCTGCACAAGCCATAGAACCTCTCTGGGACTCAGTTTCCCTGTTGGTAATAAAAGAGTAGCATGTAGATACTAAAGCCACTTCTAACTCCAAAATGCTATGATTCCATGAAGTTATCACCTCACCTATTTCTGTTAAACTAAGCTTTCCACCCCCTGAATTTTGAGCTTCATTAGCTCATGTCTTCTCCACATGAATTATTTATGTTGAAATTGTTCTCTGCATGCTTTAGTAAAAGCTTTGGAATGTGGCATCCATTTGCTTGTAGCTAAATGAAACCTTTTCAAAAGGCAGTAGCATTTCCCTTTCAGGCCCTGTAAAAGGGGCTCCATTTATTTAAATCTGAAATGCACAGTGAGCTAAAAGAGGGCAGGACTTTATGGATCACCTGATCCAAGCCCCTGGTTTACAGACGAGGATACTGAGAGCCGCAGAAGTCACCTGGCCACCAGGTGCAGCCGTGGGAAGTGACTTTTCCCTTCACCTTCACTCCTTTTTACCTGCAATCATTGCTTTAATTTTCCGCTATTTCTTAATCTCATTTTCTGCAGGGAGGAAGGGGTTGGCAAGGCCTACCCTCCACCCACAGTAAAAAATAGGTGCAGGTTTTTCTCCAAACTCCCGTCATAGCTATTGTGAAAAGATATGTTAAATTCACAGCTCAGTCTCAGAGTTATTTACATCAATAACAATATTTAAAATCACAGTAACTACACTATAGGATTCTAGAAAATACTTAAATCTTAAAATGAACTGGTTTTGTCATTGGCTGTTTGAAGTAAGATCTTCCATTACAGGGTCAGGATGCTAGCAGTAGAATTTTGAAGCTTTTTTTTTTCAGTTCCTGTATTTAGAAAAAAAAATTTCTTTCCTTCGTTTGTTTCTTTCTTTCCATCTCTTCCCTTGTTTGATCCCTTTAACATGAACTTTGGAGAGCTCCCTCTATAATTATTCTTCTGAGTACAAGAAGAGAACAGCAAAGTGGTCACCTGTACTCTAGAATCTGGAAGCAGCTGGGGACTGTGCACAAGGCGTTTACATCACTTACGTCATAATGTCAGGCAGTAAATGCGTGATGCAGACACTCGTGTGGGGAGAGACCACCATGACCCAGAGTACTTATGGAAGAAGCGGGGCCCCAATGGAAGCTTGAAGAATGGGGATAGTTTGAAAGGTAGAAGTAAAGGAAAAGTTACAAATATGCTGGCAATGCTATGAACACTAGCCTATAGTGTGGAATGAGTGGAACATGTTTCCTTAAGTGTAGAGACTGAGATTAGCCAAGCAACAGGCAATTCTGAATATATCATAGGAGGAGGTAGGACTGGAAGGGTAAGTGAGGCCAATTTTAATGGGCCTTGAGCGCCAGGCAGAGGAATTTGGACATACCCATAGATCAACGTTGCAAATAAAAATATCTACAGGAGTCAAACAAGTAACTTAACTAAATGAAGTGAATTTTCTCAAGGAGACAATGGGAGGTCGGTGGTAAGTTCAAGGGCTGCCATTGCTAAAGGGCAGCCATTGCTTTCAGCTCTCTCAGACTTTGAGCCCAGGATTGTCCGTTTCCCTCATGTTTTTCAAGAGACTATAAATATATGGATTTTAATATAAAATTTCCTGATTTTTAAAATACTGTATGGCTCAAACAAGCTTTTCCTCAGAATAAATCCATTTATATAGCTACCAGTTTGTGGCCTCTGCTGTAGAAAATGGAGGACCTTTAAGGGCTTTGGACTAACAAAGGGACACCAGGAAAACGGCATTTTATGAAGTGTGAAAGATAACATGGGTAGACCCATATTAAAATAGAGCTGGAGCAGCCATTTCAGAGGAATTGCTCTGTACAGCTTGTTTTCTTTATCTTCCAAACTGGACCAAACTGCCAACATTCCAAGAAGTCAGTAAGGACAAGAATATCCTGTTTGTAAGAACTGGTAAAACTGGACTGTGCTGATGACCAAATCGCTAACCAATCAATGAAGCACAAACCTAGCCTGACCTCATCTAGCACCAATGAACTCTTCTTCAATACAACTCACCTCATCCTCCCTTCTTCCCATAAAACCTTTGAACCCCTCTCCTATAATTGGAACACGTTCTGGGTTTCTACCCAAATCTGTGTCTCCAGAATTGCAATTCTAATTGTCCAAATAAATATCTGCTGTTTAAATTGTAGTTGATTTTTCCTCTCTGGACAGAGGATTAGCCATTTGTTTTGTGGTCTTATACATTTTTATTTATTTGTAATCTCCCAAGTATTACCCTATAATAGAACATCGATAAAGACAGAAGCAATTTGGTCCTAAATAGGAACAAAGTCACAATATCTGAATTAGGCAACATGGAGTTGTATTTTCCAAAGATGGCCACAAAAGTATCTCTCATACCACAAGTTTTGCAATGTGACCTTGGCACTCTTCCACAAAGAAATGGAGTTCAATTCTCTTGTTGAATGAGCTGGCCTTAGTGACTCATTCGTCACAGTAAAATGCAGTGTAAGTGATGTTTTGTGACCTCCAAGACCAGGTCAGAAGAAGCCTTGCAGTTTCTACCTTGATCTTTTGGGATGCTCACTCTCCAGACACTTCCTCATGTGATGTGTGAAGCTCCCTCTCATGTCCCTCCCTCTTGAAACCCAGCCCTTAGCCTGGAAGAAGCTTAAGTCACACGGAGAGGCCACATATTGGTTTTCCAGTTGACAGTCCCAGCTTTCAAGTTATCCCAGAACAGGTACCAGATGTAACTGTTAAGTGAAGAAGCCTTTAGATGATTCTAGCCACCAGACATCTAAGTCCTCCCTAGTCATTCTAGTCTTCTCAGAGGAAGCCTCAGACATCATGAAGCACTGTTCAGACTGAATTCCTGACCCACAAAAATCCATAAGCCTAAGAAAATGTTGTTTGATGCCATTAAGTTTTGAGGCGGTTTGTTTGCAGCGACAGATTTTCAGAACATGCATAAACTACGTAAGTGGATCACAAACAACAGTGTACATAAGAATGCACAATCCAATGTAAATATTCAGACTGCAACTGCCCCGCAAATGCAGATGCAGGGAAATAATGGGATTAAGTAAAAAAAGCAATATTTCTAATCAGCTTCTAGGTGATTCTAATGGAGATAGTTCTGACCATATTTAGATAACTATAATCCTAGGAAGAACTCCCCTAAAACTTGAAGGGACCCCAAGATTCATTTGTACAGAAGACTAGAACTCTGAGTGTTCTCATCACTCAATTCAGAAAGCCTTCCTCACAAACAAAAGAGGCCCACTCAACAGGCAGCCTCTGCTCAGGGAGTTTATTCCCGCATCATAAGCAGATGTTCAGGTGTGACACAGGACTTCTCTCTGTCACTCCTCATGTAGTCCAGTCTAACCAGAGTTAAATTATATGCTCTTGGGAAACAATTTTTAAATTAAATTGTGATCCCTGAAAATTAAATAGTAAATACATTTGTGACTTTATATATTTGCCATCTTGAAAATGAGAGTATCAAGCCAATAAAGAAAAAGAATTAATAAGGGCTGGAAAAATTAAGCCAAAATATTTATATGCTTACTCTGAGGAAGCTGGCCAAATAATATTGACTAGAATCAAGAAAGAAGGTTTCAAACCAATGGCAATTCAAATGTTAAACTGGAAGGCCCTCACAACATTTCTCCTCTACCAATGGGGTGTTTTTGATAATGAATCTCATCAAAACCATATACCTAACTATGAAATTTTTCAGTTGTAAAGTTCTGAGCACTCAATTTATCCTACGTTTATTTTACAGATGTAGTCTCTTTTAATAGCATAGATGTAGGTTTACATAAAATTCTTCTTAGAAGAAGGAAATGGACTAGATAAACTAAAAATGTTATGCTTCTGGCACTCAACTTATTCTGATAAATTTTGTTTTAACTGACATAACACAGTCATGTTATAGAGCGATAGGAATATCTTTATGGATTAAAACACCAGGCAGAAATCCTTGGCTAAATATAGCCTGTAGAAGTTTCTTTCATCAGTCCCCAGTACTTTTTATAAAGAACTGAAATGCTGTTAATATGGGTCATGTCGAAATACCATTTTGAAATTGAAATTGAGAGAAATGTTCTTTTTTTTGGTCTTGAGTTTGTAACAGATTCTTTAGGAGTTAATGTCACTGCTACCATTTGTTTCCCTATATATTTTTTTCTGTTTCATTGAGGCTGTCTTTGCGATTTCATCATTAGTGTTCAATAAAATCATGGGCTGTGGATGACAGCAATGATGCACCTTCCGAGCTTCATCTCACTCAACTTCACACATGACCTATCCACAGGCACAGTAAACCACTCTTAAGTAATTATGCAATTAACACTTAAAAAGTAGTGTTTAAAATGAAAAAGAAATATTATGGGTTGATATGTAGGGCACTAATTGCTGAGAAATATTCTGAGCCTTCCAAATGAAGCTACTACGCCCATAAAATTCAAGTCCACAACTTGTGGCCCTCCCCCACAACTGAATTTCTCCCTTCAATTTACAATGGCACCGACAGCCTTGGTCTCAGGCCATCAACTCTTCCTAGCACAGCACTAATCTCTGGGAAATGTCCTGTGACTCAGCTGCTACTGCTGAAATGTCAGCTGAACTTCTTAGACACACACACACACACACACACACACAAACACAGAGAGAACACATGGTCATTCAAGAATCTGAGAAATACCAAAGCTGAGAAGGTTTCTGTAAAACCTTCCTTTTTTCATCTTTGACAAAGAACAGATCACTAATCAGAAGCACCTCATCTAAGGCCAAGATTTTTTGCTGCTTTGTCAGAGTAGCTATTGTAGAATTACCTGCCTATTACTCCTACATGAAAAAAAAAAATTCATAGAAAGTTTTAGAAAATAGAATACTTGAAGAAATTTATGGCAAATTTATAACTAAAAATAACCTGTAATAGTTATACTGTCTTTATCCATAGATCAATATAGAATAACATAAAAATACCATGTGTTCATTAAAGGGACAGATGAATGAATGAATGGATGGAGGATGAATGACTAACCCACTGGGAGTGTGAATGAGGATAGCTGGCATCCATGAGGTGAAGATAGAGTCCAATCAAAACACAATATTATTAAAACATTTCCTATGTTATAATTAAAATATCTAAGATAATCCCAAAATGTTTCATCTATTTATTTATAATAGAGAAAACTGTCAATATTTAAAAATTCAGTTAAAATTATTTACCAAAATGTTACACAATCTTGGATAAAACTGAAATATTTCAAAGGAAAATGATTATTTTTATAAATAATTACTTTGTAAATCTAAGAGCTTTGTTAAAAAAACAAACTGTGAACACAATGTATAATCCAACACTAACCTCCTGACTACGAAAAATACACTTTAATTCCCTTTGTCCCAAGATATTAAAAAATATTTTTAGTTAAAAATCAGAAAATCTCAAATAATCAATAACTAATATAATCAATTATTTCTTGTTTCAGCAACAATAGAGGGAGAATACCAAGCAGATCAACTTTTTATGCTATTGTTCATCCTTGTAAACTCTCAAGACTTTTTGTTTTATTCATTACCTTCTGAAAGTTAAGTAATTTTAATTATGAAGTCATTTATTATTAATAAATTTTTCTATACCTGGCTGCTAATTTGCTCTTCTTGAGAGTTTTTAAATTATAAAATGATACAATTTTGCATTAATAATCAAGGTTATTTCTCTTAAATATTTAAAGAAAAACTAAATATAACATATATTTATATTTGTATTAATATATTGATGTTATTTTTAGAGGGTTTTTTTATGTGCTGACTTTTAATACATTTTTAAATTCTTTTAAGATATTAAAGACTTTCAAATATTATTTTCAATTGATTCTTTGCTTCAACAGGCAACTTAGATTCCACGCCCTTTCTGTATGTCTATGTGTATCTTCACACACACACGTATATATTCTATTAATAATATATATATTCTATTCTATTCTATTAGTTTTTCCTTTTTAAGTAGAGCACAATGTCCTGCTTATTTTTAATTGAGAAAGATGTAGATTTTTCTTACCTGCCCTTTAAACTACTTTGGGAAAATGCAAAGTCAGCTGAACTAGACTTAGCAATTACCTTTTAGCTGACAGAGTCTTCTGATGTGGGAATCATTCTCAGGCTTGCTGGGTTCCTGCCAGATTGTGTCATTCACAGCTTTTCCTTCTAAAGTAAACCAGAGAATTGGTTAGCAGAATTCACAGTAACATCTGTCCCGTAAGTATAAGAAATTTGAAATCAAAACAAGTTCAGCATGTGGTGGTAACTTGGTAAGTGATATGTTAAGAGAGCTCTGTAGTCCACTGTGGGGAGTTCTAGTCCCTGATGGACACCCAGATGTCCTGTGGGCTCCTATTTATTTCCATGAACTACTTAAGCACCCAAGCATGTATGGTAGAATGCTTCTACTGAAATACCTCTTGGTAGCTTAGGATTACATTATCCTTTGCAGTATTTTTCTTGAATTAATAACCATTTTTTTGTTGTTGTTGTTGTTGTTTTTTGAGGAAGATTGGCCCTGAGCTAATATCTGTTGCCAATCTTCCTCCCTTTTTCCTTTTTTCTCCCCAAAGCCCCAGTAGATGGTTGCATATCATAGTTGTACATCCTTCTAGTTGCTCTACGTGGGACGCTGCCTCAGCATGGCTTGATGAGCAGTGGGTAGGTGTGCGCAGGGGATCCGAACCAGTGAACCCTGGGCCGCCAAAGAGGAGCGTGCAAGATTAACCGCTACGCCTCTGGGCTGGTCCCATTTATTTTTTATGCGTAAGTTAAAGTATCCCCACCCTCCACATTCCTCATTATTTTTAACAAAATGATTAAGTGCGTAGAGAGAACACTAAGCTGTGAGAGTTTCAAGGAACTCTAAGATCCCTGTGTGGAAGAACCAAGATTTGCTTAGCCTTGTCCTCCCAACACCTAGAGCAGGGCCTGGATATGTGGTAAAGAACTGAACTGCAACAAAATGAAGAATTGTAATCCCTTCTAATTTACCTCCCAAAGACTAATCATTCCACATATTGTATCATAACACTGATAAAGCAAACTTTAAATAATGCAACTAAAGCATCACATGGAAACAAACTCAGTATGCTGTGCTATTTTTAAAGTCACTATTTGCTCTCACATTTGACTACAGAGAAGGCAGTTGATCACCGAGAATTATGTTAGAAGGGAAACATCATGGTCTTCTGTGTACAAAGTGAATAGTGTGCTATGAGAATGGATCTAGATGGAAAATAAAATTTTGCCTTACTACCTTTCATTTAAGACTATGCACTATTCAAATCAGGGCTGATATTCAAAATACTTAGCAACTAGTGCTCACAGGGCCTTGCTTGACTAATGAGATAGGACCCAGCGTCTATGGATGCTACCACTAGAAGAATATTAGACCCGATTAAAATGCAGACACACTTGGAAGATGCATTCATTGATGATCATCATCTTGGTCTGAATAAGCTTTTCATATCCTACCCAGGAAACTAGTTTTGAAAGGAGGGGTGAAGGAGTTTGACTCCTCTGACTCCTAGGTTCTGCTGGGGAGAAAGAAAGAAGAAAGGGTATCTACAAGTTTGACAAACTGCATAAAAAAAGGAATTCTTGACTGAATGATCCAATTGTTTTGTCATTGTGAATGTCCTATATTCTGTGAGGGAAAGAGAGACATTGGCCATTAACTTTCTAAAAGTAATTAATAGAATTAGATATTTACTTTAGAATTAAAATACAAATCAAGCCAATTGCCTTTATTATTACTATGGGCACTGTAATCACAGAAATTAAAGAAAAGTTCTGGTGTTTGAAATGCTGTGGAAGAGTCTTTTGTAATCTAACCATTTTCGACTGCTTCTTTATTTACTCCTAGATTCATAGATCTGAAAAGATATCTAGGAGGTCACCTTGACCATGGTCCCACCAAGCTAAAGTTGGGAAGCTAGAACATAATCAGCCAGTAAACCACCAAAGAGAATTCGTTTTTTTAATATAAAAGGAAATTACTCTGGGGCCGGCCCCATGGCATAGCGGTTAAGTGTGCGCGCTCTGCTGCTGGCGGCCAGGTTCGGATCCTGGGCATGCACCGGCGCACTGCTTGTCAGGCCATGCTGTGGCAGTGTCCCATATAAAGTGGAGGAAGATGGGCACGGATGTTAGCTCAGGGTCAGCCTTCCTCAGCAAAAAGAGGAGGATTGGCATGGATGTTAGCTCAGGGCTGATCTTCCTCACAAAAATTTTTTTTAAAAAAGGAAATTATTCTGAATAAGTCAATCATTTCTTTGTTTTGGTCATTTGAAGTTAGAATGGAACCATATTTCTTATTTTTATTTCTTCCATAGAATTCAAATACAACTCAATTTGACTTTCATTAATCACTTATTGTTGCTTTATGGCAGCAGCAGAAGAAAATAACTTTTAGCGAAACAGAACATATCATTTCCATGAGTAATCTTATGAATTACTAACCAAATACTTTGTTTTCAGACACAAATCTCCGGATTGACCTAGAATAATAAAAGAAACAGATATTTTAAGTCTAGATTTAATAAATAATGCTTTTAATCAAACCAACATTAGATCACTTAGACATGTGCAATGCCTTTGAGAGCAAAAATAAATTCTATCTCTAACTAAGTTCTACATATGGTCCTGAATTTTCCTGACCCAAGATGGCAAAGTACAGTTAATACAAGTATAATCTTGGCCTGGAAATTTCCATGCAACATGGAGAAACTAACATTCATAAAACCCACAAAAAAAAGAGTGGGCCATTTCTACATGAATGTATCTCAAATAATCAAATAGTTAATATGGGAAAGTTCTTTTTCAAATAATTCTATTCAATAAACACAGCAAGAATGATGCAAATTGAATATAACCACTGTACAATCCCCAATGAAACAACAAATCTGGGCAATAATCACCAACTGCTGTTAAAGCATTTAAGTGAAAAGCTGATGGGCAACTTGGTGGTACATGGGTCAGTCTGATACCATCTGAACCCACTAAGCAACACCACCATCATAAAAATAGAGACGACCAGATATACGGGCTTCCAATGTAATGCAACAGGAAGTATACAGTCACTGCGACCTACTTTAAAATACATATATATCAAACTTGAATTTTATCAAGCCTCGAGATCTGACTAAAAATTTACAGGAAACATAGAGGATAGAAGAACATGTTTTTAAAAAATACCACAAGAATCCAATCAGCAAAATGCAAAAATATGGGAAATTCCTCAGAACAAACAATCCAGTTTCTTGAACAAATAAACAGAGAGAGAGAGACTTATACATTAAGAGACATGAACAAATGCATTGCATGGATCTTGTTTGGATCCTGATTCAAATAAACCAACTATAAAAAAGCACTTGAAGTTATCAGAGAAATTTTAACATTCACTGTATATTTGGTGATATTATGTCATTTTCCTTATTTTGTTCTAGTGTAGTAGTGGTATCATGGTTATGTTTTTAAAAAAACAGTTCTTGTTTTTTAACAATATATATTGAAACATGAAATTATATGTCTGGGATCTGCTTTAAAAGAAACCTAGTGGGGGTGAGGGGGAGTAGGGAGTCAAATGGGTTAGGATGAAATAAGATTGACTATAGGTTGATACTTGTTCAAGCATGGCAATGTGAAATCATTATCTCTTCCTCTGCATATGATTGAAAATTTCCCTAAAAAAATGTCTAAAACAGAAACAGAGGACAGGACTATGCGGACTCGACCATGTTAATCAATTTATATACTGAGTGAACACACAGTTTTCCACTTTTGACATTCTTGGTAGTGGTTAAATTAAAGCCAAGTTCACCTTTTTTTTAAGTTCAAGGTTGTAAGCAAAAACCTACATATATAATGTACCCTTTTTTCTTAACCATTTTATTTTGGTTTATTTTAAATTTTTTAACGCAAAATGCTTAGGATATCTCTTGGCAAATAATGCATGTTCCAAAAAAGCTATTTATAATACTGTAAGTGAGGTAGGTGTGTAACCAAATGAGATGTTATTCCCTTCTAGGGGGTGGTGACAAAAGAACTGAGGAACTCAAAAGAGTCTTCAATTTTATTTTAACTAGTTGGAATCTGTCCTCAGATTAACTGATTTGTCTGTCACATGAATTGATTTGGTTTATGTTTGAAAAATCCCAATTCAGTCAACATTAGTTACTTTCCCTTTCATTCACCCTCCTCTGCCCCACCATGTTTTGGTATCCTCTAATCTGTAGAAGCGTCAGTCATAAGCCAATATTGTAATTTTGTTTAAGTATTTGATTTGGAATTAGGAGTTCTTTATCCGTGGATAGAACAAACAGCTACATAGGTGGGGCGATTTTTAAGACTGAGAAGAGCTCTGCCATAAAAACCTCTTCTTTACTCCAGCTCATGCTTAAAATGCCACTGTTGTTGTAGTTTAAGTAGGTAACTAGCTGAAATACAACTACCCTCGCCAGGCTGGTGCTCTAAGCTGTTAATCATGCAATTACCTACTTACTATGGATTTGTTTTATATCCTTACTGGGAGAAAGCTTTGAGTAGGAAAGGGAGGAAAGAATATGAAAGTACAGAGTGGTTTGGTGGAGGGGGAGGAGGGGCGAGTGGAGCAAAGGCTGTCAAGAAAGACCAAACCCAGAAAGAATTTCACATATTAACAATTTGGTCTCACACCATTCCAGAGAGCAACGAAGACATTCTTCTGTATCATCAGCAACCAATCTGGAAATTTCTCCATAAATCAACTTCCTGCCCCCATGTATTTCCTCCTTATTAGTTAAAATCTCATTACCTTATGCAACATGTGTGTGTCACGTCCTCTGGCAGCTTGATGTGCTGAATGTAAAGCCAAGCCTGACCTAAATAACCCAAATCTCTTTGCAAACACATTTTTATTTGGATTAGAAGAACTCTTCAGAATATTACCAGGTCACCAATAGAAACATATTTTCAAGTAGGCTTCCACTTTAATCTGAGCTTAGTTTAAAAACGTTTCTTCTTCTAAAAATTTAATTTTCACGTCTCTGTCTACAGGAATGTCACAGCACAGGTTTTCTATGCATCACCATAAATAGATAAATGGTAGCGGAGTAAACCATACCTAGATTTGTACATGACAATTTTTTAAAAAGCACTTTGACAGAAAACCCACTAAAATATTCCATTTGACATTATAAAATTAAGAGAATGTAAAGTTTTCAAAGTAAATTTGACTTACTTCTTTTTTGGTTTTGCATTCTCGAAATTAGAAACTTCCTGTAAAATAAAATAAAAACTAAAATAAATAATACTACTCCAAGAAATCAGAAAGAGAATTCAAGTTCATCTTCAAGTATAACCCAAATGTAGTTCACTTTGCCTTTTCCTAGTAAAATGACTGGTATTTCCCACTTGTATTTTAGTAATACGTCTTAGAATCTTAGTTCAAGTTTTCAGGGTTTTTTTTCTCCTTTTGTCTTTGTAACTTTGAGAAATGTAGAATGCTTCCTCTATTAACTAGGGCTTATACCTTATTCTAAGCTCTTGCCAGTTAATAAAGCAAGTCTTTTAAATAAAAATATGCAATTAAATTCTCATAACCTCAATTTTCCATCCCCCATCAACCCACCAAGACCAGCGGGAGAGAGACACATCAGAGCATATTAATTACGTTAGATAGTACCTTCCTTTGAGAAAGAGAAAAAGTAGCCTCTCACAATAGCCTGAGTGTGTTGAAATACACCTGTGATTCATCTGGCCTTTTTCTTCAGAATAACTGAATGTTGTGTAAAATCCCGTACACTTTTGGGGGAAGAATATGTTGCCACATCTTTCACCATCCTTGAAAGAGCTTAAACTGCTTTAAGAACATTTTGGATTCTCTCGTTATTATTCATCTACTCCTTCATTCAAAAACCATTTATGTTTTTGATGTTCAAAGTGCTTTTTGAATATCTATCATACGATAGGGAACAGACCAAGTTCTGAAGAGGTTTGTTCGGCGTGGTAGGAATTAGTGTAGTAAAGAACGTTGAGACCAATATTCCACATAGAACGAAAAATACCAATGCAAAGGCTGGGAGGATGGTAAACAAAAATCGGAAAAAGGAAAGTTGGTTTTATTATTCCAATAGTTGGTAGCATCAGTCTGAGCACTGTCAAATCCAGGATAACCTTTCTCCCACATAGTAATTGAGGGGGCCACGTCTGTAACCCTTATTGTGTTTTTATCAAGATATAACTCTCAAGGACAATTTGCCTTACCTATTTCAAGCCACTGAGTAGAGTGTCACTAAAAACCCCATATGCTAAAACAATCAGCCCCCAAACTTGAGGAACAAGTTTTGTCAAGTTAAAATGCCTGTGGATCACCCAGAGGACAATGTCTAGTAGGTGACAGGTGGAGGTGGATGTAAAGATGTGGGAGTCATGAACCAAGCCCTGAGGTGAGCTGGGATATCAACAGACCTTTTAGGAATTAATGGTCAGACTGACCACCCCTTCAATTCTCCATGCTTTGTCATCATGTGTCCTAAAAATAATCAATCTCTATCCATGGTCTTTTTATAAAATTCTTTCAGTCTTGGTCTAGATGTCTCCAAACCTCAGTCCAGAAGCTAACTGTGTCCCTTTCACCACAATCAGCAGCCACACCAGCTCTGTGAGGGGTCCTCAGGAAAAAAGAGAGCCATCCGTCTTTAGGTAACATTTTCTTGTCATATACATTTGGGATTTGCTAGGAAGGAGAAAGCTCCATGTTCACATAATCTATGCAGTCTGGGCCAAATATGTCTCAATAATCAGAATCTATTGTCCTGAGTCTCATTAATTTGTTATATGGGTTTAGATAAATCTCTTTGGATTGCCAATTTTGCACTCTTCAAAATAGAGTCCACTGAACGGATAAAGAAGATGTGGTATAGGGGGCCGGCCAGGTGGCGCAAGTGGTTAAGTGTGCGCTCCACTGCAGCGGCCCGGGGTTCGCTGGTTCGGATCCTGGACGCTCACTGACACACTGCTTGGCAAGCCATGCTGTGGCAGCGTCTCATATAAAGTGGAGGAAGATGGGCATGGATGTTAGCCCAGGGCCAGTCTTCCTCGACAAAAAAAGAGGAGGATTGGCAGATGTTAGCACAGGGCTGATCTCCTCACACACACACACACACACACACAAAAAGAAGACGACGACGTGGTATATATACACAATGGAATACTACTCAGCCATAAGAAACGATGAAATCCAGCCATTTGTGATAACATGGATGGACATTGAGGGTATTATGAAAAGTGAAATAAGTCAGAAGGAGAAGGTCAAATACCGTATGATCTCACTCATTAAGTAGTAGATAATAACAACAACAAACAAACACATAGAGACAGAGATTGGATTGGTGGTTACCAGAGGGGAAGGGGGGGAGGGAGGAGGGCAAAAGGGATAATTAGGCACATGTGTGTGGTGATGGATTGTAATTAGTATTTGGGTGGTGAACATGAGAACATGATGTAATCCATGCAGAAATAGAAGTATAATGATGTACACCTGAAATTTATACAATGTTATAAACCAATGTTACCACAATAAACAAAAAAATTAAAAAATTTAAAAAATCTCTGAAAAAAAAAAAAATAGAGTCTACCTCTTTTGTGTATAGATAGAAGACACGCCTACTCTAGAGTTAACCAGTAGAAAAGGTGGCTGTGCAATAAGAAAGATGGGAAATACTAGATATCTTTTATATTTTTAACCATTCGAATCACAGTGCTTCTGAATCAACTTATTATATCAGTAATTCATCGTTTTCACTACCAAAGAGATTAATTGCAGATGACTCACAAAACTTGTGTGCAACTGAGCCCCAAGTGTTTGAATTGGGACAGGGGGGCACATTATTTAAGCACAGTCTCCTGCTTCACTTAGAAGCCTTGGCTGAGTTAATACAATCTGGTGTTGGACCCACACAAAACTGGTTAAATATGTGTGGCTGCCAATGTGGTGAAAGGGGCACAATTAGCTTTGGGGCTGAGGTTTGGGGCCATCTGGACCAAGAGTGAAGGAATTTCATAAGACCATGGCTAGAGATTGGTTATTCTTAAGACATATGTTGTCTCAACATTCTCTAGGGACTCTATGTTGTTCTGTTTTACCGGAATCCAGATCATCCAATTTTTGCTTGTAGTGAATCAGTTTAGGTTTGGGGATCTTTTGTTAAAGAGTTTTCTTGTAATGAATACTTCAAAAAAGATTTTGAGCTAAAACTGCTTTTTAATCCCTATTAAGATGAAAGAATTTATGTAGTTCTCCTTAGACAATCTGCTTCCTACGAGAGGGTAGGGAGAGTCAAGCACATTAAATGTGTGTCTGAAGTGTGATTACAGGAGGGAATGGGATTACTCCTCAAACAGGGCACCATCTACTTAATTAGAATAATACATCTGTTCCCTAGGTGTTGCCTAGTTGTAGATTATTCCTGAACTGGCTAAGCAATTTTTAGTACTTGTACCAGACCCAAAGCAGCTGCTTTCAATTCTGACTTCTGCTTACACTGTAGACTGTAATGTACTTCGGTGCTCAGACCCTGAGTTCTTTATTCGTAGAGAGGCAAGTCAACGAAAGACTATATACAGCTTTATTTTCAGAACTACATCTGTGTGCGTGTGTGTGTGTTAATCTGAATTCCAAAAAGAAGATACCATCTCAATGAGTCAATGAAATAATTCTATCTAGTCCATTAATTTGACACTTGTCGTAAATACCAGGCAAAACTTGCTCCTGTTAGCCTTCATTTCATTATCTCCTAAGTCAAGTACTAATCGTTAGTCTTGCCTTTCATTCACTAGGGAGTTTGTGGCTTAACTTAATTTTTACCCCTGGCAATTGCTGGGAAAATAAAAAATGAAACACAGGCAAATTATTACAAATGGGCCAGTAGAAACTAAAGAATATGTCCCACCTGTGTGATTTTTCAAGTGGTGATGAAAAGTAGGGTTTTGATGAGAGCAGGCTCTAGGAGCAAAGCATTTTCACATAACTATAAAACAAGGTCAATTAAAAAAACAGTTCGAAATGAGGAAAGAGAAGATGCCACTTAAAAGAAACAGAGAGATTTTGGATACCAAATACCATATTTCTGGCATTTGACTGCAGTTGACTGTCCTTTGGGGTTGAATCTAATATGTGGCTGTTTCTTGCATTATTGGATTTTTAAATCTTACTTTCAAATCACAAAGTCAAAAGGAAAAATGAAGTGAATATGTCAGGAGTTGTTGCCTAGCTAATGGAAATGCGAAAGGTGTTTCTGCACTGGAGAAAATTGATTGGCAGTAAATGATGGTGTGCAAATCCCATAGTGAACTCTTAAGACTGTAGAGCTGATGAGATCTCACCTTTGATTTGCAATGAATAAACTGAGGTCCCAAATGGTAAACTGACTTGTCTACCGTCATGCATATAGTGCTTTACTTTAATTAAATGCAAGTCTTTTTTTTTTTCATTCTAATATATTCCTTTGGAATTATATAATTCATTCATTCATACAGTCACAGTTTATGCAACAAAAACTTATTGAGCATCTATTATGTACCAGACACTGTTTCAGATACAAAGAAGAATTACAAGCGGTCCTTCTCTTAAATATCCACCATCAGTGACTGCTGATCTCAGAATCCTGTTGGATTTCATGATTTTTTTAACTTTGGAGATTAAATGAGCTAGCCTCTATAAAATTCTTACGTGATAACAAACACACGGAAATACAGATGTTATGTCTCATTAGATTAATTATTCATTAATAGTCACATAGACTTCTGATACTGAGGCAAGAGTTGAACATAAATACAAACACAAACACATATGTATACATACACATAACTTCTCATTAAAACAAGCTAACCCAATTTCTATTTCTTTAACTCATTCTCTTGCAAGAGTGAAGATTATTCACAAGCATAAGTAAAATGGTTTTACTAATATTAAAATACAACGATGCCAAGAATGCCACATTCAAATTGAATGAGCCTGTTTCTGGGCATTTCTTAGGTCCCTATGCTTCAATAAAGTTCCCACAGATGTTTAAAAAAGACATGAAAGTTAATAAAAGTTTCTTTTAAAAAAATTCTTATAGACATCTGGCAAACAGAATGGTTATGATGCTTCGAAGTTAATAAAGTAGACTAATTTTGCAGTGATCCTAAAGCCACCAGAGAAATAAAAAATATATATAAATCCAGCCATTGAGCCCTGTTTTCAAAACAAGGAGGAGGTCTGTATGACTGGATAACAAACCATCACCCATGTAGAGGAGTCCTACCACCCAGGAGCAATTCTACCTTGCCTCTACACCTGATCGCAACCGTGGGGAGAAAAATCCTATGAAGGAGAAGTCTCCTAAGTTATTGAATAGATCACACAGCAAAGAGGAATAATAGTAAATGTAGCTAGTCTGAGCCCAGATGGTTAAAGCAAGTTGCTGAGAATGGTAAGCCTTTAAATCCTATTACTTTTCTAATTTCTTGATTTAACACATTTGCAGAATAATAATGGCAGAACACTCACGTACTACCAAGCACAGTTCTAAATGCTTTTATGTAGTAATTCATTAAATCTTTACAGCAATCCTGTGAGGTTGATACTATTACAATTATCCTCAATTTACAGATAAGTACACTGAGGCACAGAGCAGTCAATATTCTTGCCTAAGTTCACTTAACTAGTAAGTGGTAAAACTGATTTTATGGTAAAGATTTTATGCTTAATGTCTTAACTAGTACACAATACTACTTCTATACTTGACTGCACAGATATGGAATCCATCTGTTATCTAGATCAGAGATCTTACAAATGAGTACTATTTTCCAGAAGGGAGAGTGTCTTCAAAAATGCAAAGAAAATGTACTACTATATGCCATTACTAATCAAACAACTCAGAAAGCATGCCCTTATCAAAGCATTAATACTAATAATTTAGTATTATTTGAAGACAAGTGCAGAGACAGCACACTGATGTGTTTTAAAGGCATGAATCATTTTTGTGGATGCCATCATTATCATCAAAGAATGCCCAGTACTTTATGACAGCACATTTAATTAAAAGTGGGCATTCAGGAAGCACTGAATTTAGAGGACAGTCTGCACATTGGAGGCCCCCTGGTACATTACTGTAATAATGTTATGGTTCTCAGGGACAACAGATTTCATCCCCCCTGAGAGTGCAACAAAGCAGCAGCAGCAGCGTCAGCTCATCCTGATGGGAAAAGCAGACATTCTTGCCAGCCTGTCCAGCTCTTGTCAAAGAGTAACGACCCGATACAGCTAATGAATTCTGATGTCCCCAAGAGAAGCAGGTGGTGTATGGCATCCCCACATGGCCCGGCATCTCAGGGCAGAATATACTGCTTGTAGTGCATGGAGAATGCACAGGCACCGTACCTAATCCGTCAGGGACAGAGCTGGTGAATTGCGTAGGACTTTGCCATTCATCCACTGGTGGGCTAAGTGAGCTTTCTATCAATCCTGAACTAACAAACTCCTCTCACAGCACTATAAATATCCAGGGCAGCAAAACAGGTTACCTAGGGGATGGTTATTTGCATTATAAAAGATTCTTTCTTTTCAAAAAGATTCTCTTCCAGATTTCTTGAAATAGAGAGCTTTCTTAAGTATCCTTAAATGTGTTGTGATTTATGAAATTATATTTACATAAGGTTTTACAAACGGGAAGGACAACTAATGTTTATTAAATTTCCTGTTTCCTGCCACGTATAACATTATCTTATATAATCCTCATAGCCACAAATGGAACAAGAGCGAGCCAAACAAACTTGCAAGAAGTGGGATAGGGAAAAGAAGTGTCATGGGTAAAAATACCAAACTCCATCCTTACAACGGAAAAACACTGAACTGGCACTCCAGAACCTGGCTTGCTTTCCCAAGTCTGCCACTAAACTGAGCAAGATCCAAGAACCCTCTTGGAACCTCAGTCTCTACATCTATAGAATGAAAATTGGGAAACAAGAACTTTAAAATCTCTTCCAGTAGAAACAATCCATGGGTCCTTACCTACAATATTTCAATCCAAAGTCAATAGGGATGACAAAAGCTTTTAAGAGAAAATTAAAGTGGGAATGGGCTTTTTGCTTTACAGCTTTTTGTTTAAAACATGATTAAAGAGATAACCATGGCTTTCACTAGATTCAATTAGTAATTGTTTCATAAGCCTAGGAAATAAAAAAGAGAATAGGGCATAATTAACCTTAATCTATTGATTCCGTTTTATTTTAACATAAGTCTCTATTTACGAGAGGAAACTAATTAAAACCAGCAGAAAGTGTTCACATATGAATTGGTGGCAGAAGAACAGCTGTATGTGATCATAGATATAATGGGTAAAAAAATAAAAATGAAAGGAAAGTGCAGTCATTTTAATGAAGGCAATCTATGTTTTATATGTCAGCTTGTTATGAGTCATTTTACAATCTAGAAATTGAGAAAAGGATTACATGCTCTGTTTTGACACTGACTCCTCTTGTTCATAGTTTGATGAAGACCTAGCTGATGGGATGCTGTTGTTAATCTCATTTTCTTCCTTTAGTGTCTGTGTTATTAATAGCTATGTCAATGCTGATGCTAATATGGAGACAGAACAAAAAACTCCCAATTTTACGAGTTTGGAGGCAAGTAAGAAATGCAGTTGAGTGGTTAGAATACCAACCCGGGAGTCACCTACCTTGACTTTTCCATTACTCACCTATTCTAAGATGACATGTCACGTTTCAATGTGTCCATTTATCCATTTACAAGACACGTGGCTCTAACAGCTTTTTAAGGCCTTTTGTGAAAGATTCTAGGACAGGGTGCAATGACAATGTCTTAACCACCCCCTTTTCACCATTTTTAACTCTAGTTCTTCCTTTTCAAGCCCAGCTTAAATCTCACCTTCTCCATGGAACTTGTACCATTAAACCACAAACCACAGTTATACTCTTAGAGATAACACCTATTATTGATCATCCACTTTGTGCCAGCCACTGTGCTAATAATGTTAATTACATTGTCACTTCTTATTCTCAAATGATGAATAAGAATAACAAACATTTTCCTCATTTTATAGGAGAAGAAACAGGGCTTGAAGAGTTTAAGGAACTTGTCCAAGATCCCAGAGCTGGTAAATCTCAAAGCTGGAATTTCTATGATGTTTATTTGACCCCCAAATTTTGTGCTCCCAACTACTAGATTATATTACTTTTTGAAATTATTTCTGAGAATTCTTATAGCAATTGGGCTTGATCCTTAAAATACAGCATTTAAGTCCATAGTTACCGATGTGACTCTCTTGATATTCTGGGTATATATAGTTCTTGCTGTAGTTGACATCTGTCATTCACTGACCCTAAAATCAATGTGTAGAAGAAGCAGGAAGAGGAAGAAGGGAGAAAGAGAAGGAGAAAGGAAGGAGAGAAGGGAGGGAGGGAGGGAGGAAAGAAAGGAGATATCCCTTGTTACTAGAATAGGATGTGTGGTTTAGGTTCTATCCTATCCATCACATGCACCAACTTAAGACATTGATACACAACTGACTTACATGGGGGAGAAGACAAGGTGTGGGCATCCATTTTTAATTCAACAAATCTCAGCAGAGACAGTGTGGTTCTGGAGCCTGCCACTGTGATGATGGCTTCTTGATTTGGCCACTTCCTGATTGTGGCAGAGGCAGCAGCTCTCTTGGGTGGCAAGTTTTGTAGTGTGCTTCTCAGAGTAATTCCTGCAAACTCAGCTGGAGTCTTCAGCCTTCCAACAATTCTGAGCTCTCTTTAACCTGTAATATATTCCTTTCTGCTGAAATTAGCTAGCACGGATTTGGTTATCTGCTAATAACCCTGATTAATAACTTGGAAGATAAATTTTAGTTCCTATATTAGTTATCTACTGTTGTGTGATAAATTACCATAAATAAATAGCCATTTAAATGTAATGGCTTAAACAATACACATTTGTTATCTCACAGTTTCTGTGGGTAAAGAATGCAGGCATGACTTAGATGGGTCCTCTGTTTCATGGTCTCTCACAGGGTTGCAGTCAAGTTGTTGCCCAAAGTTCTGAGGTCTCATCCAAAGGCTTAGCTGGGGAAAGGATCCTTTTCCAAGCTCATTCAGTGATTGCTGGCAGCATTCAGTTGTTTTTTTTCCTTTAAATATATTTATACAACTAAGTGTATATACCTCTTTTGTTTCTGGCGTCTATCTTTCTGTATTGTGTGGGTTTTTTTGAGGTCACATTGGTCTATAACATTATACAAATTTCAGGTGTACATCATTATATTTTGACTTCTGTATGGACTGTATCGTGTTCACCACCAAAAGTTTAGTTTCCATCTGTTGCCATACACATATGCCCCTTTACCTGTTTCACCCTCCCCGTGCCCCTTTCCCCTCTGGTAACCAGCAATCTA